GGGGGGGGTTTCTGGTTCCAAGATAGCAACCCCCTCCTCCCCCCTCTCAACAGGAGTAATTTTGGGGGCAAGGGGAGGGACTTTCTGGTGGTAAAGGTCAGGGGTTAAGGGCAAGACTTGTGGTCCTAAGATGGCAACCAGGGGCAGGGGACCTGTCAAGGGGTGGAGCTACCTTTGCAGCCTTCAGCAGCTCACCAAAATTAATTAAGTGGCCCCCTAGCCAAAATAATTGACCACCCCTGTACTAAGGCTTTACAAAATTTCTTACTTAGATTTTCTTTTCTTTTTTCTTTTTTTGTTTTCAACATGTTTGATCATTTTCAAAAGTGACAACCATGTTGGGGATTCCGTGATATACCCAGAGATACCACAAGCAGAAATTGAGTTTAAAAAAGAAGTAGTGTGATCTCGTATCACCATTCAGAATATTTAGACTTCCTATCATCATTCAGAGTATTTTATCTATATTAGGTAAGTTTCTGTAGAAATGTAGCTATCTTACAACAGAGCGAATTCTGTAAAAAAACCAAAACAAGAACAGTTTGAATGTTTAACAAATCTCTGGTCAGACCTTTCTGACCAAGGTGGTTTTTTACACCTGTGATCCAGTGGAGCCACTAGGCCAGACACCAACAGCCGAATTTTAGTTACAGAGCACTTATCACCTCTAACTGTACTGATGTTGGCTGTGAGGTGGTATCCTCTTCCACCAGGGCCCGACTGTTGCCTTGTATCGCTTTGTTAATGTGGTTCCTAATCTATATATTTTGGGTTTGTCTTTCATGTACCTAAAAAAATAATTTAAAAAATAAATAAATAAATAAAACCCCAAAACATGAAAATTCAGCTTTTTTTATTTTGGTGTCTCATGAATAAATAGCTATTTAATATGCAGTTATGTCATTTCTGCTCAAATATTACTCTTTTTAAATTTAAAAAATGAGTTGTATTGATGTAGTTAGATTCTTATTAATACAGCTCATAAATTTATAAGGAAAAAAGTCAGTTTGTTACAATGATCTGGAAATAGGCAACGAAGCTAAATATTAGAAGAAAAATGTCTAATTTTACTGCAGTTATCACAAAAAGTAAACTTTTAAAAACACTTGTGATAGTTTGTCCTTTATTGTCAAGGAGAGAAACTGATAGCAAAGTCATCTGATAGTTTTCTAGACCATGTTCCACCTCATTACTGAGAATAGTAACAATCTCTAGAGATATTGCAATTAACATTGAGTTTGGACCCACAGTTAGTTATTCTGAATAACATCTTTGCGATAAGATGCCCTTCTGCTTTTTAAAATTGTGAGCTCTTCTCTTTGAGAAGTAAGTAAATGTGTCCTTTACAGCTGTTATGAAATATAGTACGACAGGAATGGTATCAGAGAATCGATTTTTGTAATAAGAAAGAAGTCCTTTTAAGCTTTAGAAAAACACTGTGGTTTTCACAAAATGCATTAGCAAGAATTTCCTGGAATTGAAGAAGCTATATTTATTTTAATAATATGAAGTAAATACTGCATAATGGTGAAACAAACTCCTGCTAGTAGGGGGAAAAAGTACAGTTTAGCCTAAACTGATCAAATCATCAACACTTCTTTTGGGCAGAAGCACCCTGATGGGAGCATCCATATCGGTTTCCTCATTTGTTTTTAATATATCAGTTACCTTGTTGTTGTTGTTGTTGTTGTTGTTGTTGTTGTATATTTTCCCTAAGTTTGTAGCAATATTGTCTTGAGATTGGTGCTGGACTGTGAAGTACTTCAGCAATGGCTAACCTTGAGATTTTCAAACAAAGGAAGGGGTTGGCAAAAGGAAATTGAGAGGGAGTAATTAAAAATACCTGCAAATTTCAAGTATTTACATATGTAACATAATTATCTATTGTTATATGTTATATATTTTAATTCATACCTAGTTGATAATTTGTTTTAGTCTGCAGAACTATAAATTAATACTTTGACTTAAATAGGTCTCATATTATGTTGGAGTATTTGTCTGCATGGGAATTAAATTCCCAAATGCACTTTTCTGTTTAAAATTCAGTTTTACCAAAACTTACTCTGTAAAAGTAGTATAGTTGGATTATGCATTCATTGTATTTCACTGACTTTTCTGTAAAATAGGAAGGGCATGTCTAGATAATGTCAGCCCCACAAATGCAAACCTATTAAAGCTAATGGTTGTCACAGGGAGGACAATGGGGCAGCACAGCCAAACATAGCTGTGGATAGAATTTAAGTTGCAAAATTTCCTCTTATGGCAGTGAGACATGAGATGTCAAGAGCCAAACTAGACTCTGAGCCTAATTTCACTTCTTGGAGCCAGTGTTGAGTAGGGAAATCTTTCTGTTTTTAATGCAAACTAATTAAATTTGATACGTGAGCTATTGTGAACATAGAACCCCAAGATGATAATTTTGCAAATTCACTGTTTAGACCTGCTTTTGAGTGGTATGTGAAACAGATAAACTGTTAATGTTGTGTATTGCTGCAGTGGGACCATCATAACTTTCACTATTGTTAAATGCATTTTCCTCATAGGCTAGTGATAGAGAAGGCTGATGTAATCATTTCTGTTGCAGCTATAAAATGGTTTTGAACACATGTAGAAGTGAGGGAAGATATATAATAATAACATTATCTGATAATCTTTTTTTCATTGTATTGGCTACTTACTCTTTCATTTGTAATAGGTGGCAAACCAGTCAAAGTGGTTTATGTTGACTCGCCTCTTCCAAAAAAAGAGATGACAGTGAGAGAGAAGAACCAAATGTTTCATGAAATTACTCTGGACTTTCTGGTGTCCAAAAAATCATACGCTCCAATGTCCATGGTGTTGATGGATAAGCCGGTTGAGGAAAACATGTTTCAGTGGAATGTATGTAGCTTCATCTGTGTTACAAGCATATGTTAGCTTACTTTCCTAGATGTACTTGATCTATGGTAATAATGGAAGACCCATTATAGTTTTCTCCCCCAGTTGCTGTTTTCTGGACTTGTTTTAAACAGGGATCTAGTTTCTTTAAATGCTTCTGTCATATTTTCTTTGATTTATTTACACAGGTGACTGTTACACCATTTTTTTACCCTTCCTAGTTTTTAGAAGGTTCTGACTCTTAGCTGAAGAGAGATTTCACAATAAATAACTGAAGAGATATCTCGCAACAAATTCATAATTTAAAAATTATGTATAAATATTTTTTCACATGTTTAAATAATGCCTAGATGGAAAAACATTTTGTGCATCTCTCTTGTTGGATTTAGCACTCTACTTTATTTTGTGATTTATATATTTTATTACTGATGGGTTTTTTTCTCTTCCATTTGAAGATGTCTTCTGATACTTGTGAGGTTAGAAACATTCAAATTTCGAACCAAATTGATCTGGACTTTGACAATGATTTTACAGAACTGGAAACTTTTGGAGCAACATCTAAGCCCTTGAAGACATCCAAAGCAGAAAATATTCATAGTAAATCTGTTGATCCAGGAAAAATTCTGTCAGAAAAGCTGAAAATAGAGAAGCAGTTGGTAAGCAAGGTTGCTGAAGTGGGAAGAAGCAAAATTTATGAGCAGGAATTTTCAGAAAGTGGCAATTTACAGAATCCTAATGAGGCACAGCTTCCAGCATGTGACACCACCTGCTCAGATTCTGAAAACAGTACCTTATATAAAGGCTTAGATTTGGATAAAATTGAGTTGCATAATGAGCAACATGGTGTAACCACAGAAGTAGTAGTGGACAGTGATACAAAATTAAATTCCTTGGCTAAACCTGATACTTTCAAGAGAGAACTGGAATTTGCAGAAACAAATGAAACTCTCGTTTCTTGTGGTAGTGACTCAGATGAAGAACGTTTGATTATTGATGTGGGAAGTAAAAATCTTGATTATTGCAAAGCAGCTGTGCTCTGTTCTAATACAAATCCTGTAGCAGATAGGCCCAAATCATCTTCTCCCATGGAGCCTCCACCAACAAGCACTGCTAATTCTTCAGAGTCCCTGGATCTGGGGAAAAACACCCCCAAGAAACCTTCAAAAAAGCTGTCTAAAGAATTTGATCCCGTTGGACAGATTTTAAAAATGCAAACTGAACTTCTCAAGCCGCCTTCTCCAAAAGCTCAGGAGCAGCTGCCAGTCGGCATTGATAAAAGTTCTAATCCTACAGCAAACCACATACCACCACCTTTGAAACCATTTGTATTCTCCAGCATGGAGTCTGAGCAGAGCACTACTGCAAATGCAGGCAGCTTGCCTAAGCTTACGTGGACTTCACATTTTCAGGGAGCTTGGAAGGGTAAGAATCTGGTTGGGAAGTCAGCTTGGAAGTAAGGAGCAAACATTTTAAGAAAAGGCAGCCACAGCAATTGAATGTGGCTCTGTTGAAAACACTAGGAGGAACCAAAGTGTTAATATTTGGGAGGTGGGCTTTTATATGTGAGGAAAAAATGAAAATCTGTCTAGTTGCATGTGTTGCATAGAAAATGCTTGTAGCATTATTGATACTTGTGGGGAAAATATACAAGAAATATCGGTTGGTTTTTATTTTACCATTGGGAAAACAAACATTTCACTGCCCAACCTTTTGGGGCAAGACGTTTTTTCTTTATGCATCAGGCCACAAAGGAGACTTGGGACTCTTAAGTATTGGGTATTATAAATTTGGGTCCAGTAAAAGTCTGCATTATTTATCTTTATAAAAATTAAGTGTTTGGGTTTTTTATAACTATGCTAAATAAACAAGGGCTCAGTTCTCTTTTACATAATTGAAAATCAGTCATCTGATTTTTCTATTTGTATTCTTATGTTTAAAGCAAAATAGGTACACATGCCTTGTTTTCTGCTTAGCTGTTTTCCCACAGAATTTCAATTTGCAATCTCAGAATCCTGAAAAACCCTTTCCAATTTGGAATGAGACATGTTAAGTTTAGAAATGCTAAGGAACAGAACATAAGAGATTAGTTGATTTGAAGTACCTGAAATATTTTGCTTTAAAATCTTGAAAATAAATTATACCCATTCAGTCCTGGCTCCCATGGTCTCTAGACTGATTATTGCTGTAGTCAGTAGGAGCAAGAATTCCCCAAGAACCACAGCTGAGCCAAGAGCCTCACAGCTTAAGAAGCAGGACTCTCAGCTCTTTGGCAGGGTCATTTAGAACTTCTGAGAGCCCAGTTCTTTCTGCTTTCTGCTTGGCTCTCTTCCACAGGGTTCTCAGACCTGACTCCTGGGCAGATGTTACTGGGTTTAATGTTGATCAGCTGGATTTAATGTTGATCACTACATAGATAGTGGTGTTTCATTTTAATCATGGAAAAATGTGGATTTTGGATTTTTTTTTTTTATAGATCTGAAAATGTGGATGTTTTGGTCTTTTTATCAGAGAAAACCAGGATCCCTGCAGATAAGTTTCTGTGAAACATCTTGTTCCTAAAGAATGAGCATTTGAAATGAAAACATGTTTTAGTGGGAATTTTCCAGCCGGAGCTACTTCTTTTCCTAATTAGGAAGGGTCTGGGTTTTTTTGTATTGGATATAATTGACAGATAGTACTGGTTGTTCATGGTCTATTCAGAGAGTAGGCCGTGATGGCCTGTGGCCTTTGAGCCAGTCTTTTTAGAGCTTGATGTTGAGCCTTACTAAAATAGAAAGGAGTTACAATAGGTAGTGTGATGGACTAAGTGAAAGTTAGTTTATCTCAGTAGTATTGGCAATAGTATAGGGAAAGAAATCTGGGTAAAACGTGTAGTTAAACAGAGACAGACTTCAAAGTTTGTTGCCTTGTTTTTTATTTAATATATCTTATTTACTTGAATATAAGACAGGCTATTTTCCCCTAATCAGCATGGGGATGGGGAAGCCCCTTGTCATCTTACATTTGCATACAGGGAAACTGAATTAAATACATTGCTATCTTTGAACTGCTGCTAAAAGCAGCATGTGCTCAGTAATGGAAACCAACTATGAAACTGATTAAATGCAGCCAGCACAAGCATGACTGTAAAACACATGGTGCATATGTGGCCAACATGCTGATGGGGAACCTATCACAAGGATAGGTTAGTGCAGGGGTGGGCAAAATATGGCCTGTGAGCCAGATCTGACCAGCCAACCGATTGTATCTGGCCCAGGGAAGCCACAAAGTTATGGGATCTGGTCCATGGGGAACCAGCAGTTCTGACTGCTGGGTCATGTTGGGCATGTCCTGGCCCCTTCCACGGCTTATACCATCTCCTGCCCTGCACGCCGGAAGCAGCACCAGGTGGGTGCTGGCTTCAGTTTTGGATATGGCTGGCAGGTTCTTGGTGGGGGTTGGGGTGTCTGCCCGGGTCTGCAGCTGATGCTGCTGCATCAGTGCATTGGCTGCAGTCCTGGGCAGTCACCCCAATCCCCAGTGGGAACTTCCCAGCAGTGTCCCCAGCTGATGCTGGCACCCCCCCCC